TACACTACAGCCCCCCTCGTGTAGTTTTTCTGCCAGTATATGATCACTAATTCCCCCAACAACATTAGCTACATCGACAAAAGCACTCTTCCATCTTCATAGCTGCATCTACACTGAGTTTTCGGGGACGGGGGGGGAATTGACATAGCAATGTCTCTGTTTTTTTTCACTCCCGTGACCAACACAGGTATGCCTTATAAGCATAGATCTAGCCAGAGGGGAATCAAGCCATTTTCATTAATGACATATGTGATTTTCATGGGTCTCGTTCCCCTTTTGTAATTAATGTTAACACTCATAGTCTCTGTTTGACAAACGCTGGCCCAGAACAAAATCACCTTGAAAGCTCATATGTTACCTTCTCTACATCAGAAATTTTACCAGTTTCCCAGGTATAGGTATACCAGAATAACTCTCATGTGGACACTCTTGTTCTGGTGTAAGTGTGGCTTTCTCACATTAGCTTCAACCACTTCCAGTGAGATATACACTAAACCAAAAAAGGCAGAAATAACTATCCACAAGAGAGTCATAGATTCCAAGGCCTGAAGGGACCATTAAGACCATCTAGTCTGACCTCCTGTATAACACAGGACTCAGAACTGCCCCCAAAATAATTCCTAGAGCAGATCTTTTTAGAAAAAAAAATCCAATCTTGATTTAAAAATTGCCAAAGATGGAGAATCCACCACGATCCTTGGTAAGTTTTTCCAATGGTTAATTACTCTCAGTGTTAAAAAATGTATGCCTTATTTTCAGTGTGAATTTGTCTTGTTTCTACGTCCAGCCATTGGATCTTGTTATATCATAATAAGTATCTATAAGTACCTACCTGGGGAGCAAATCCCAGATGAGTCCAGAAGTTCTCTTATGGCCTGTGCCCCTTCTGGCCTGAGTAGCTATGAATTTTAATGAAAGAGACAAGATGGCTGAGGTTATATTAACCCTACTTCTGTTGGTGGCAGGGACAAGCTTTTGAGTTTCACCGAGCTCTTCTTCAGATACTACCTCACCCACCTTCGCTCTCTCATATCCTGGGGCCAGCATGGATATAACAGCACTGCAAACAACAATGAATTTTAATTTAAGTTAGGTGTTTTTTGTAAATCACACTAGCCACCTATTTTCATATTTAGGCACATAAATACCTTAAAAACCCTGGCCAAGTACCCAATTCCCATTGATGTATTTGAAATTCTTCACCTTACGTCATTTGGCTGTGATTTTCAAAGAAGACCAAGGGAGTTACATTCCCAAATGCCATTGACATATATGGATATCTAACTCCCCTAGTCTCTATTGTAAATCTCAGCCTACGGTCTATATTTTTAAAGATATTAAAGCACCTAATGGGATTTTCAAAAGCATCTAGCTGATTAACTCCCATTTAAATCAAAGATTTTAGGAAAGTAGATACTTCTGAAAACATCGCTAGGTACCTAAATACCTTTACAAATATGGCCCTAACTGACTACCCCCAGGCCAGACAAGGAATCAGAGGGGAGCCAGGAAAAGACCCCCAAATGTTTTTTTCTGATCTCTCAGTGGTGTGAGGTTTGCAAGCAAAAGGCATTTCAAAGGTGTCCCTGTGAAGTCCAGATAGTTGAACCTCCTACAGAAGGGAAATTCTGACATTTTGAAATTTAATCAGAATGAAACCAAACAATTTCAAAATGTTTGGAAAAAATCTTTTCAGGTCAATCAAAACTTTCCCTTTTTATAAAGTGGACATGATTTTTTCTGATTTAGACATTTTTAAAATGTGACTCTATATTATATAAAATTAAATAAATGTTGGGGAGGGGCAACTGAAACATTGCATTCTGACAAAGTACATTTCAACATATCAAAACACTTTGTTTCAGTTCTATTTCCCCCCCCAAAAACTTTCATCAAAAGCAATATGTTCCAAATTTTGACCAAAATTGGCACATTCCAAAGTTTGTCAAAACCAACATGTTGCCATGGAAAGTTTATATTTTGACTAAATGGCTATTTCTGGTGCAGAATGTGCTGTTAGTAAATTTGTAACCAGGTGTACTGTGAAGTCATGAAGTTCGGGCTTCCTTCCCAGCCCCCATCACCAGCCCAAAATCCCAACTTTCGGTTTTTTAACATCTATCCTTCACACAGCTTTCTGTACCAAAGGAAGGCATTTCCTTAAATGCAACAAATGTCCAGAACAGGTGTCCGTTGATTCTCAGTGGGCTTTGGGTGTCTCCTGAGCATGCACCAGCCCCAAACAGCTATACCCTGAAGCAGAAAGCACTGGAACATGAATGGGGAATAACCATTCACTAGGGAGATCCAGCTACTAGTAGGTTGGCAATGTAGTCTGAGCTGCAACTTCTTATGGTCTCTGTCTGTCATTGCAACCCAGCTCCACATGGAGTTTCTGACATTGGGGTCCTGAACCTCTTCTAGGAGTTGGCCAGGGTGGTGTTATGGGCGAGGAAGAGAAATTTAAGCTTGATGCAAGGGAGAGCTAGGGAGAGGAGCCAGAATGGACACTGAACTAATCAGATGGACAGGTGAGGATGCCTGAATTTTTGGCAGTCTGGAGAGTGTGTGACATGGGTGTGAGGGAGGTAGGAATTAGACAATACTAATGGGATGTTAGTTTGCTTCTTATAGAAGCTCTAGAAGGACCACCAGGTTCTGTGCCTTTCAGCAGTAGGTGGACTTATCCCAGTAGGCACAAATTGCCTCCTCAGCACCAAACCCCACACCAGATAACACTTGAACATGTTTGTGGAATCTCCCCCAACCTTCTTTGCTTGTACCTCTGGATAGTCCAGTGACTGTAGGTTTGGCAGCATGGTTGTAACTACTTCTCCACCTCAACTGCCTGACAGATGGAGGTGAACTTTCCTTTAGAGCTGTAGGTCCAGGACCAGACGGGATGATGCTTAGTAGTGGTGGGTGCATTTTCCCCAGGAGGCCTAAATGACCTTTGGCATTTGAGCATCTCTATCCTTCTCTGTTTGTACCTGTGAAGAATCCGATGACTGTAAGTTTCACAGAGTGGTTGAAAGCGGCATTTCTTATGGGCTCCTTGTTCCATTGCAATCCTGCACCACATGGGAATGTCAACCCTTGTGACCCCAAACCTCTGATAATAGTTGGCCGGGTGGAGTTGTGCTAGGGATTGAGGATGTTTCAGTTTGATGCAAGAAGGAGCTGCAGGGTGGGACCAAAGAGGGGTCAGGTTGACAGGTGAGGAAAATACTGCTAACGTTTGAATGTTGGACAGACAGAAATGACCATGCCTCCACTTGGAAGAAGTAGGCCATTATGTTCCTGGATACACAGGTCATCATTCACAGCCTTTGTTAACTACAGCCCCTCACACAGCGCTGCCATGCCAGATGGCAGGCTGTTCTTTAATGATGGGATTTTCAAAAGAATTTGAAATTCAATAGAAGTCAAGTACCTAACTCCCTGAGGTTTCCTTGAAATCGTAGCCCCAGTCCTTCAAGGTGCTGATGAATAACTTCAGCATCAATAGTGGGATGTTTAAAGGAGCCTAATGGAATTAGATGCCTGACTTCCATTAAATTCCAGTACATGTGGGTGCCTGAATACCTTAGGCTCATTTGAAAATCTGATCCGAGATCTATAGGGTGGGGATCCATAGGGAAATGCACCACTAACTGGAATGTGCATTTATCTCTACAGGGCTCAGATTGATTTCACATCAGTGCTAGTGCAGACTGAAAAGTGTTTTACTTGGTGGGGGGGGGGAAGTGTTCAGACAATAAATCAAAACTAAGGCAGATTTTCTTTTCAGTTTTCAAAAACTGGATATGGTAAAATGTTTCCTTTTTTGGTACAATGTTTGAGAGAAAAAAATTGCTCCTTTTCAAAATTAAAAAAAAAAATCAAAATATTTTATGTAAAACCAAACTGAATACAGGCTGGGTTACACAAGAGGGCAGACTCAGTGACCCCAGTGGTCCCTTCCAGCCTGGGAACCTATCAAGAGAATATTTTTAACCAAAACTTTTGTTTCCAGGTTTTCATCTAAGAACCAATTACTTTTTAACCAAAATGCCAATTATAAAATACATAGATAAATAAATATTTTGAGCAGCCCCTGTCAGCCCCAGGCAGCTCACACCGTAAGCTAGGTGTCATTGGGAGGTGAGTTCTACTGACATGGGGCCTGACATTCTAGGACACCAGGTTCAGACAGATTCAGCAGCCAGGTGTCTGACCCTACACTGGTTGTTGCATCCCTGCTCTCAAGAGACTTTGGGCACTGGGGACATGAGTCTTTCCTCTCTTCACCCCCAGGGGCTCACAGGACAAACAGCTGCCTGCTAGACACATTATGTTCTCTTTCCTCCCAGGTACTGCTTGCACTTGTGTACATTGTCGGGGTGCCCACCACCTCCTGGAGCTTCACGTTCATGCTACGACTGGGGAAGACTGTGAGGGAGTCTTTGGGCAGCTGAAGGAAGCACTGGAAGGCAAGTGGACCAGCGGGACTAGATTTAGCACCTGTCTCTGTTTCAAATCATTTAAGATGGGATTTTCAAATGGAGGTCCAAAGTGCACTTCCTTGAGCACCTTACATAAACCTAGCTAACATATGAATGAATCGCTGCATGCTTGTTCCATGACAACATCCGTGTATTGCCAATATTTTCACAAATCCCTAGGGCTGTTCTGACACACACACAGGCTGAGGTTTTCAAAAGGGCCTGAGGCAATTAGGACCCCAAATCCTGTTGCCTTTCAATGGGAGCTGGGCACCGAAACTGCCTTAGTCCCCCTTTGAACATCCCTGTGCCCCTGAACATATCTAATAGCGTGTCCCAAAGCTCATCTCATTTACCCACTATTTTAAGCAGGTGAGAAGAGTAAGAATTCCTACAAGAAGTGCTGTGAAGTGCATGAAACCTGGGGTTCGATGACCTGGGAAGAAAGAATGGCAGAGTGCGCTAAACTTGTCAGGATTTTTGAAATGGAACTTGGAGGCAAGTCATATAGAAACCTTTTGTCACTTAGATGGGGCTTTTCAAAGGCAGCCAACACCTTGACTTTCCAAATGATCTCTCCAGAGGTGGGAGCAAAGAACCAGATGTGTCCTAAAAGGAAGAAAATTCATCATTTAACCATTTTCCTGCATAATTCACCATTTCAAGTGTTTCAGTTCTATCTTCTTCTATTTCCCCCTCACTTAAAGGGGAAAAAGCAGAGAGTTCCGATAGCTCTTATGATAGAATAGCTGTGTTCGAATATAGTGCCAGTTTATGCTCAAGAGGAATGTCACGCAAGGAAATAATTTGGCAACTTCTCTGAGTAAGTTTAAAAAATATATATTTGTCATTGATTTATTTTGGTTTCTGTAAGAACAGAAAGGGGTCTGGGCACCCTTGACAATCATTCCAAATATAAAACAACATATAGTGACTCATACAGCACTCCACCGCTAACAGCTCTGCAATAATGAGCTTTGCAGAAGGTCCAACGATAGTCTCGCTATGGGCACAGTTGGGTGCAAAACCAGAGAGACCTTCCTAACCGGCGCTGACAAATTCAAAATGGGTCAGAAAAGAGCTACGAGAATTACCTGAGGCCTGAAAAAAAATCAGCCTCTTAAAGAGAGACTAAGGCCATACCTACAAGTACAGCACTGCAGTGGGGCAGCTGTACCGAAGGAGCTGCACTACTGCAGTGCACCTGGTGAAGATGCTCTATGCTGACAGAACTCTCCCATCGGCATAATAAAACCACCTCCGTGAATGGCTGAAGTTATGTTGGTGGGAGAAGCTCTCCCACTGACATAGCGCTGTGTGCACGAGCACTTATGTTGGTGTAACTTATCTTGCTCAGGAGGGTGGTTTATTCATACTTCTGAGCGACATAAATTATGCCAGCATAAACTGTAGTGTAGACATAGCCTAAGGAAGTTCAGTCTATTTAGCGTAACAAAGAGAAAAGAAGAAGTGACTTGATCACAGTCCATAAACACCTGGAGAGGAGATTTCTCAGTGCAGATGGCTCTTTGCTCTAGCAGATAGCAGCAGATCCAGCTTCATTGGCTGGCAGCTGAAGGTTAGAGGTATGGTGTGAAATTTTAACAGAGGGGAAATTCACCACTAGAAAATGTATCTATCCATGTTTTGGATTCTCCATCAGCTAGAGTTTTTAAATATAGATTAGAAGTCACTTTTGTAAAGATGTTATGGGACTGATTCAGGAGTTACTGTGTGAAATTCACTGCCCTGTGTTATGTAGTAAATCAGATTAGACATGATCCTTTCTGGCCTAAACAAAAACAAAAAATAGATTTGTTGAATCTTTCCAAACATCTCCCTCTCTTACACTGAGAAGCTACATCTTATGTTCCTCCAGTGAGCACAACATTGTCGGTATGTCAAAGAGCAGTGCATTCTCCGCAATGTCTGCTTCAATTTCAAGTTCTGGGGGGATTTGCTATGTGGAAGCAGAGCTTTGCTGCACCCAAAAAGAGGGTGAGAACTGTGTTTTTCTCTGACAGCTATATAAACCTCCCACGCTGGTGGGGGGGCACCCTTGTTCACTCCACTGGTCGCCCTGTCTAGGTTAGGTTGACTTACAGCCACTGCAGTAATTATTGCGGTTTTTCATGTCCTCGCTACCTTCCTTCTGTCAATGGTGCACTCTCTCCTCAAACCCCATCCCCATCCCAAAGCTGCTCCTGAGTTATGCCTGTGTAAATGCATAGAAACACCCATTGTCAGTGGGTATTGCACCCACTCCTAATGGCCCAGCACGTAGGAGTCCCTGCATCCTGATGTTCTGGCAGCACAGGCTGTCAGTTGGTGTGGGAGCTAGAAAACCAGAAAAGCACGCCCTGTTCTTCTGAGTCCAGCAGCCCCAGAGGAAAAATCACCTCTGTGTTTATTGCAATTACTCTACAAGTGGCACTGTGCTGAGTTCCTTTTAATCAGCAAACACCCATCTCCGCCCCCACTCACACCTACTAGCAACCGAGAGAGAAAAAGGAAGAACGTATCTCCATATTTCCTTTAGCTATTTTTTTTTACTTATTTTCTGCTCTGATATTTAGCCTGATTTTTCTTGCCCAATAGGAATTGTATCGAGCACATGTAAATTGTTATGGAAAACCGAGATCTGTATCTGCCACTGGATGTGGGGGAGCACCAACAACTTTCTGTACAAATGTCGTAAGCAAAATGCATTTGAATTTCACTTTTCACATCTGTATATACATCCCTGGAGTGAATTTCCCTGTTTTTTAAGGTTCTGTTTTGACAGTGATTAGATTAAACAGAAAGGAATGAGAAAAGGGCAGCTGTGTTGTATAATGGGCAAAAGGAGGCAGCAGAGATAGGAAAGAGGCAGCTATAGGGTATAGGGGGCAGCATAGGGTGAGTATATAGTGGGTCAGACCAATGGCCTTCAAAGAAGGAGAAAAGAGCAGTTATACTGTATAATGGGCACTAGGGACAGCAGAGGGTGGGGGTGGGGAAGGGGTGGCTATATCCTATAATGGGCACTAGGGGCAGCAGAGGGTGCACGTGAAGAAGCAGCGGCTACACTGTATAATGGGCACTAGGGGCAGCAGAGGGTGGGGGCGGGTAAGGGGCGGCTATACTGTACAATGAGCACTGGGGGCAGCAGAGGCTGAGGGGTGGGGAGGACATGACTATACTATAGCCCATAAATACTTTTGAAGATAGTGTCATGAAAATTATCACAAATTTTGTATCTAGTAATCTACTTATCGGCTCCCCGTTGTAGAGTTGCCAACTTTCTACCTGCACAAAACTGAACACCCTTGCCCAGCCCCCAGTCCTGCCCCTCCTCCGAGGCCTTGCCTCTGACCCGCCACTTCTCTGAGGCCCCGCCACAACTCACTCCATCCCCCCTCCCACTGTTGTTCGCGCTCTCCACCCTCACTAACTTGCTCATTTTCACTTGACTGGCTCCGAGGTTTGGGCTGTGGAAGGGGGCTCTGGCTCTGGCTGGGACTGAGGGGTTCGAAGGGCAGGAGGGGGATCAGGGCTGGGGGCTGGGGCGCGGGAGTGGGTCAGGGTGCAGACTCTAGGTGGTGCTTACCTCAGGCAGCTCCCGGAAGCAGTGGCATGTCCACCTTCCGGCTCCTATGTGGAGGCGTGACCAGGTGGCTCTGCGCACTGCCCTGTCCACGATTCCCGGCCAATGGAAGCTGCAGAACTGGCACTTGGGGCGGGGGCAGCACACGGAGCCCCCTGGCTGCCCCTACGCATAGGAGCCGGAGTGGCGACATGCCGCTGCTTCTGGGACCCACACAGAGCCACTGCAGGGAGGGAGCCTGCCTTAGCCCCACTGCGCTGACCGGATTTTTAACAGCCCAGTCAGTGGTGCTGACTGGCACCGCCAGGGTCCCTTTTTGATCGGGCATTCCGGTCGAAAACAGGACACCTGGCAACGCTAGACCTCATTCCCATGTTACCTGAGTGCCCAGTGACATCTGTGAATTCCCTACAAGACAGAAAAATATTGTTATTCCCATTGAACAGATGGAGAACTGAGCTACAAAAATGAGAAAAGACTTTCTCAAGGTCACAGAGGAAGGGTGTTTAGGTCTATGACAATTATCACAGGTGTATGAACATTCTTGTGCACGAGAGAATAAAAGTGGCAGTAAAAAGGCAATTTCTGCTTTTTGTTCCAACAAACTTTTGTGAATAGTTTTTGTTTTGTATTACCCATTAATCACTATTTGACAGCTAGTGTGGAAATGTATTTGACAAGGTTCTTTTTTAGAAGGAAATTGCAAGGAGTCCAAAATTCTCTTTAAGGCTAGAGGCATTCTCTAGAGCTGGTCAACATTTCTCAAATGATATTTTTATTGTGAGTGGAAAATGGCCATTTTCTAAAATCAAATTTTTCACAGAAAAAAAGTGTCGAAATTTTCTGGGAAATTATTAGATTGAAATCTCTGTCATTGTTGTTCACGAAAAACAGATAATGCTTCCATCCCTGTGGAATGAAACAACTTTGAAATTTCAACTTTTTTTGCAGGGGCAGGGGAATTTTTTGACCAGCTCCAACTGCCTTTCTGGGTGTTCATGGGAAGTAAATAAAAGGGACTTCAAATGCAACAGAAGGGAATGTGGGGCTTTATTTGGACAGATGACTGTCAACAGGTTGTTGCTGTATTTATCCCACTCCATAGTGAGCTAGTGTCAAAGCAAACCTAAAATGTGCCTGGGTTTTAGTATGATTCTGAACTTACCCTGAGACAGAACTTCTTAATAAGGCAGCCGGGATTCTCCTAAAATGGAGTTTTACCAAACGCTAGCTCAGATATGTGTTTGTGGACGATGCTCATGTGCCACTGAGACGGTTTAGAGGCTAATTTCTCAAAATTAGAGCTGAGGTTTTTCAAGGAGCCTAAGGGCAAGATTTTGGTTCCTAAAGATACCGATAGACATCTGGGGTTAAAGGGATTTTGACACCTAAGACCAGATTTTTAAAGGTATTTAGACATTGCTGCGGTCAGTGTTGCAACACCTGACTGATTTAGGACTACAGACTGTCAAAGGGATTTTGGCTCCTAAGTGCCTAAATCCCTTTTGAATATTGAGATTTAGCCTCCTAAATCAGTTAGGTGCTGAGCACAGCGGTGCCTAAATACCTTTAACAATCTGTGCCCTGGGCACTTTTGAACATCCCACTGGGCCTCTCTCTGTATCTTTAGGCACCAACCCATCTTTGCAAGTGTGGCCCCTCATGGTAATTACAAAAGTACTAAGCAGGGTAGGCTCCTAACTCCCACAAGTTTCAAATGGAATTCGGTACCTGTCAGTGACCAGGATGGGGGATGTCATGCCTAATGGCTAGAGCAGGAGTCAGACCTAGTGGTTACAGCAGACACAAGTAGCTGAAATCGGAGCTGAGGGTCAGTGCCAGAGTCAAAGGTCAGTGGCCGGTGCTGAGGGTCAAAGCCAGAGTCAGAAGCCAGAAATCAGAGCCGGTTACCTGGAGCAAGGCAAGGTGGGTGCAAGGCTGGGCACAGGGCAGGATCAGGAGCTCTCGCAGCCATGGGTAAATGCTTTGAGCAGCCAGTGCCCTGCCACTGGTCATAAGAGCAAGTCTGCAGATGCCTACAGCCAGTTGGGTGGTTGGGCTAATCAGGAGGCTCAGCGGGGGGCCCAGTTGTGGGAGGGGGAGGGGTTAAACTAGCATGTAAGCAGGCTAGCTTTGAGTCATTACTCTTGACAGTGCCTAACCCGCTTAGGTGCCTTAGGAAATCCCACTAGAAGTTTATCTGCCAGTTTAGGCACCTTTGAAAATGCACATAGAATTCAGGGGGATTTAGGCACCTCAGTCATTGTGACCCCTTGGAAAAATCACAGCCTAAAACAATATGTGGATGCACTTTCGCAGGTGAAGCCCAATCCACTGGCTTGACCAACCACAAATTCATCCACTTGATCGACGCCGGCATTGCCATAAATTCCGCCTACCCCCTCGTTCTGCACCCAAAGAGGAAAGTGAAACTGATCCTCTTCTTCGACTTCAGCGATGGGGATCCTTTTGAGGTAACTACTGTTATTTATTGTGATGTCTCCCAACGCCCCAATTGGGATCAAGCACTACACAAATACCCAGGACTTGACCCATGGCCCAGTGAGGTTACACTGTTGTTAGCAGCAGTAATTTAGATTCCCTGAATGTTCTGTGGGAATCACAATTTGAGATGTGTGAACATATAGGATCCACTGGGAATATTTACCTTATTACCTGCAAGGTCGCTTGGGCTTGGGGTAAGGGCATGTGACCAGTCATGACATTTCTTTCCCTTTGGATATCATGGAAGAAGAGGAAATTCCTTGAAGTTCAGTTTTATTCTGTGTAAAAATGGCATCTGCTTACTCCACAGATGTGCCCCTGTGTGTATCACAGTCTTATCTGATGTGCTAAATGACAGCCATTAGGTTTGACCACTTTTTATTTATGTTAGCACCAAAGAGCCAAGAGCACTCTAGCAGGAGGAGACGGGGTCAGTAGAAATGTGAACTGAGTTCCAATAAGTCAGTTAGAACTCTGCAAACTCACTAACCTCAGCCTCACATATGACTAGTGCGCCATAGGTGATATTGTCTCCCTCTAGTGGCCACACTACTATAACACTTTGCTACTTTGTTTACATCAAGTACAAGTTTTCCTATAGGTGAATTTGTAAAAAAAATGAAACAAAACAGAAATCAGACTTGGGCTTTTGGAGGAGCTGAAAATCTGGGTTTCCATTTCTGTTTATTACCTTGGGCTGAGGTTTTCAAAGTCACCTAAGGGATTAATTTTAATGGGAACTGGGCATCCACATCCCTTAGGAGCTTTTGAAAACCTCAGCCACAGTATATGCATTGTTATGCAAAGATTCTGGTTACACAGATATGGCAACAGGGTCATGTTCAGTTTCTCCTGGAGGCCCTCGATTGGTCAGTCCCTTAGAGGCTACTTGGAATGTTTGTATACTAGAGGTAAGGAGTATTTTTAACTCTCTAGCCTGGCCATATTAGTGACGTCACATTTTATTAGTGGAGATGGTCATTTTTTTTATTTATTTATTTTAAAATCACTTTTCCCTCCTTCCCAGACCATCAAGAAAACTGCCAAGTACTGTGAGGCAAATTACATCCCATTTCCCAAGATAAACCCAGAAAAGCTGAAGGACACAGATACCCCCTCCAGTTGCTACATCTTCAAAGGAAAAGACGTTCCCACCGTCATGCACTTCCAGCTCTTCAACAAGAAAAATTGTCCAGGTAACTTAATTGTACACCTCTTCTAAAATTATGGGCTAAATTAACAACGGGACTTTGGTGCCTCATTGCCGGTTTAGCCAACGAAATGTCAGAATCAGGCCTCATTGGGAATCACAAAAGCCCTGCTCAGCTCCCACCAAACTCTGTAGGAGCCTGCACTTGCTCAGGGCCTCAGTTTTTGCAGGAAAGTGTCTGTGTTTCTGTCTCTGGGCATGTGCACTGCTGCCCCATCCCAGGCTTCCAGATGCCTAAGCCCCAGCACGATGCACAAACTGCAGGAAGAGAGGTGTTCTTCTGCTTCACTGAGCTGTGAGCTCCAATCTGGTTGACCTGCTGGATTGGGCTACGACTATAGCAGGAGGAGGGGGGACCCCCTCCCTCATAACTACTAGCCCAGGGGTTACAGTAGTCACCTAGTATGTGGAGGGCCTTGGTTCACCACCCCCTGCAGCTCCCATTGGCCGGGAACGGGGAACCGTGGCCAATGGGAGCTTTGGGGGTGGTACCCTCAGGTGAGGGCAGCGCGCGGAGCCCTCTGCCCCTGATCCCCCAGGGCTGCAGGGATGCGGTGCCGGCCGCATCCGGAAGAGGTATGGGGCCAGGCCAGGCACGGAGCCTGCCTTAGCCCTGCTGTGCGCTGCTGCCACCCCAGAGCCGCACAAGGTAAGTGGTGCCAGACCAGAGCTCAAAACTGAATCCCTCTTGAACCCCACACCCCAACCCCCTGCCCTGAGCCCCCTGCCACACCCCTCCTGCACCCCAACCCCCTGCCCTGAGCCCCTGCCGAACCCCTCCTGCACCCCAACCCCCTGCCCTGAGCCCCCAACCTCCTGCCCTGAGCCCCCTCCTGCACTCCGGATCCCCTCCTGCACCCCAACCCCCTGCCCTGAGCCCCTGCCGAACCCCTCCTGCATGCCAACCCCCTACCCTGAGCCCCCTCCAGCACCCTGCACCCCCCCCACACCGCATACTCCCTCCCGCACCCCAATCCCCAGCTCCAGCCCTACATTCATGGCCGTGCATGCAATTTCCCCACCCAGATGTGGCCCTCGGGTCAAAAAGTTTGCCCACCCCTGCTATAGAGTGTCTGTCGTCACAGCTGAGAACCCCAAGCAGAGACAGGTACCTCCCTCCAGCCTGGACTTGGGTGCTGAACTCCATCTGCGCTTAGCACACCCCCCTCTCCTGGGCATCTCCAGCCTAGCATGCTGGCCTTTGTGGATCATTTTCCCAGGAGCCTCTCTCTCTTCATTGCACCGGGAGCCTGGGCGCCTAACTCAGCCTTTGTGAATCCCACCCAGTGATTTTTCTAGGGTTCTAAAATTAGGCGCTGTGACTCTCAGTAACTCAACACCTGAGTTCCACTGTGAACTTCACCCCATGTGTCTGAATCGGAGCTCAGAGACTGAAATGGAGCTACACCTGACTGACTGGTGAAAATGAGCAGAGGAGCTCAAGTATTGCAACTGTCTACCAGAGCTGGGTCCATCTAACCCTCTGTGCTGACTCTGACAGTGGCTAACACCACATGATTCACAAGGAGAGGCACAAAACCCTTTAATAAACAATTAAGAATAAACCTTTCCCAGGGAAGTAGTTCATGTATGGGTTTATTCAGGCAGGTTTAATATCTTTTGCATTGTCTTTTAATCCAGCCTGATACAACCATGGATGTTCATGTAATATCCAACCCTTCCTACAATCCTTCTGAGAACTGGGTCCTGCTAGTATGCTGCAGCAATGAGTTCCACAGATCACTCATGTGCTCTACTAAATAATCTCCCATCACCAGTTTTAAATGTGTGGCTTTTCAATTCTTTGAGAGTCACCCTGGAGACAGAAATTAGGCCCTTTGGTTCATGCTAATCAAGCCAAAAGTGCAAATCCTTATTGATCAATGTTTTAAATAATTTTATTTATATTTTACCCAAATCAAATGGATTTCTCTGGATTTGCACCCTTTGTAACTGAGAGGAGATGTGGCAGAATAGATCACTTTCAGCAGGGAGTGGAAAGGGGGATACAAACTCTCTTGGACTCAGTGGACAGATTCAGCTTTGACCTGCTGCACTGTAAATACAAATGCAGATCCTCAAAAGGATTTGGGCACCTAACTCCCATCAACCTTATGGCTGTCCAACAAAAAAAGGTGTCTGAAAGATTATTCTGCATTTTCCCTAGTTTGCAAAGGGTAGTGAAATAAAATAGATAAACTGAGAGAGGTGGGTAGGGGGTAACTCATCAGTAGAGCACCTCCTTGTGGCCAGGGGTGGCCTAGCAGCTCTCTCCCCATCTGGAGCCCCCAGCTGATCACCACCCTGGTGGGCTGCCTTTTCCCAGGACTTGTCCCTCCAGCCAGGTCACAATGTACATCCTCCCCTTCCTGGGTACCAGGTTCCCACAAATAAAGGTCCAGTGTCCTTATATCAGGTCTCTGGCACCAACTCTACATCCTAGGGAGCTTGCACAACCTTGCCCCATGGCTTCCAGTTGTCCTTGTCCCCTTCTCAAGGACTCTAGGCCGTTTTCTCCAGTGGCTGATAGGAGAACCCTGGCCCTCACACTCTACTGGGTGTCAGTCCAGGGGCCCTATAAACAACAGATGAGTTCTGATCCTTCAAGCTTCTGCTGCTGCTGCCTTCCTGGGCTTCCTCCTCCCATGCCTTTTACAGGCCTTCTTCCTCCACAACATCTTAAGGTTCAGCTTTGTTTCAGGGCCAGGGCTCTCCCCTTCAATCCTCTAACACAAATCCCAGGCTGCAGGCCTTGTTAAAGGCCAAGAAGGATACTGTGGTTGCAGAAGGGCATCCCAAGGGTAGGCAGAGGCAGCAGGTCCAAACCCTCCTTGCCAATGATGAGTGGCAATTATACTGCAATCCGCCCCAGTGAGCGGGGGCTAGATGGTGACTGGCAGTAGCCCATGACTGAGGCAAGGTGGGGATAGAGGGTTGGGGGTTCCCCTGGGTGGGGAGACCCTGAGACTGCGGGGGTATTGCCAGGGGGCAGCACCCAAAAGACAAGGGGCACCGGGTCCTGGGAGGGACAAGGGGACCAGCGGCAAGTGGGACATCGGCCTGCAGAGTGCGCTCCGGAGCTGGAAAAAGAGCTAATTCCCAGGACACCAGCAGGAGGTGCCACAGGGGTGAGTCCTGCCTTGTTACAATCTCATATTTGTCTTTGTTGAATTTCATTTTGTTCTCTATAGCCCTGTTCTCCAATGCATCAAGATCCCTTTGAATCTTACCTCTGTCCTCCAAAGTCCTCTAGATTTGTGTCATCTAGAAACTTGACCAGTATGCTCTCTATTCATACATGCAGGTTTTTAATAAAGCTGTTAAACACCAGACCCAGAACAGATCCCTGGGGAACCCCATCTGAGACCTCCTTCCAATCCAACATCATTCCATTAATAGTTACTCTTTGTTTGTAGTTGTTTAACCAATTATGGTTTAACCACTTAATAGTAGTTCTGTCGAGCCTGCATTTCTCCAGCTTACTGATCAGAATGCCATGTGAGACTGTGTCAAAAGCCTTGCTGAAGTCCAGGTATATTATGTCCACTGCATTCCCCCATCCACCAAATCAGTTACCCTGTCAAAGAAGGAAATAAAGCTGGTTTGACATGATTTGTTTTAAGTAAATCCATGCTGGCTGCTAGTGATTATCCCTTCATTCTCCAGGTATTCACAAATTAAATCTTTTATACGTTGCTTTAGTAGTTTCCCAGATATTTAAGTCAGCCTGATTGGTCCATAGTTCCCCGGCTCGTCATTTTTCCAATTTTTAAAGATGAGCGCTATGTTAGCACTTCTCCAGTCTTCCGGGACCTCTCCTGTCATCCGTAAATTCGTAAATATTATTGCCAGTGACTCCGAGATTTCTTCAGCTAATTCCTTCAGCCCTGCTGATCTGAATTCATTCAAATTGGTCTGAAAATCTGTGACATGTTCTTTACTTATGTAGATCTGCTTCCTTTCCCCTTTATTGTCTATGATAATGTCACTAGTTGTCTGGTCACATGTTATTTTGTGTGGGGGAAAAAAACTAGGAAAAACTTTCTAACTCTAAGGGTAGTTACACTCTGGAATAGGCTTCCAAGGGGTGTAGTGGAATCCCCATCTGAAGATTTTAGGAACAGCTTGGACAAAAACCTGTCAGGGATGGTCGAGGTACACTCGGTCCTGCCTCAGCACAGGAAGCTAGAGTTGGTGACCTCTCAAGGTCCCTTTCAGCCTGACATTTCTGTGAGTCTATGAAAACCTCAGGACTTGGCTATGTTGTTCCCCTGCCTCTTTAGGTATCTGGATTCTATGGTTCTGGGAGCAGTAAAAGTGTAAAAGCAGTACAATTGTTTCCCTCTATTTGGCACTGTGACAGGGATGGGACTCACCACCTGGCGCCTCCTGCTGGTTGTCTCTGGGAATTAGCTCTGTCCAGTGGAGCGCACCCTCCTGGTGGTGTCCCATCCTCGGTTGGCGTCTGAGCCCGCGTCGCTCACCAGCTTGCATCATCCTTTTCAAGCCACTGCCCTCTGGCAGTGCCCTTAGTCCATCCACACCCCCTTCTGGGGGAGGGGTGTCAATTAACTGTCTCTTTGCACCCCAGCCAATGTGGGCAACTGCACCCCCAAAGTCACACCCCTCTTGGCAGGGGGTTGGTGCAGCCCAAGACGGCCACTCCCATCGGCCGGATGTAAGGCAAGGGAGAAGGGGGGGACCCAGGCCCCCCCACTACTCTGGGTCCCAACCCAGGGACCCTCTAGTGGCAGCCGTCCTGCCCTCCTTCTCTCCCTCCATCTGGGCCGCTTCTCCTTTGGCCCCTCGCACCAGCTAGGCCCTTCCCCTCAGGGCCTGCAGCCTGGCAGACACTGGGCTGGAGTTCCCTTCTGCTCCCCCGAGCCTGCCCAGCACTGCGCTGTCCCAGGTGCTAGTCTCCCACCTCTGGAGACAGACTTTCCCCTCTAGAAGGCCTGTGACAGACTGCCTGCTCTCTCTCTGAGCAGCCTTTTTATAGGGCTGAGCCTGGCCCTGATTGGCTGTCTCCAATCTGGGCCCTGATTGGCTCCCACTAAGCCCTTCTCTGATTGGCTGCCTGTCTGCGCAGGCGCACTGGCCTGCTGCAGCCCACACTCTCAGGGAGTGGGGCAGTCCGCCCCACTACGGGCACTTACCCACCTGTTTTATTCCTAGGTGAAATAGAGGACTTCAGAGACAGGTTTACCACCTTTACTTCATCCTACCCAGAGGATGATGTCAAACAACTCCTCAAAAGAGCAAAGATGAATGTATCAAACAACAAGGAGAGGATTCGGAAGGAGATCCAGCAGATTGTGTCCTCCTCTCATGAAGGGCAGAAAATCTGTGTCTGGCTCTGACTCGCACATTTCCAGCAAGGCTGTTCACTGTGACCAATTAGAACCTAAGTAGAGCAGGGAGGAGTTAGTTTTCCTGGATAAGATTCTCAAAGGGATTTAGGCACTTAACTGCCCCTGTAGGTGCCTGAGTCCCAGATTTAAGCACCCCTGGGATTCACAAAACTCTTGCTCAGCTGCCACAGAACTCTAGTATCTAAACTCCCTTGGCACTTAAGTTGTTGCAGTGAAATTTCCCTGGGTGCCTATGTTTCAGCCTTGGGGCATGTGCACTGCAGCCACTATCTCGGTGTTCAGGGGCCTAAGCCCCAGAGTGATTCCTGACCCAGGAAAGACAGCCATTCCTCTGCCTACCTCACCTGTGGAGCCTGAGCCTTGGTGCAAGAAGGAGGAAGATGGCCTCTCTCAGAACTGTTAGCCCAGTAGTCAGCATACTCAGCTGGGACCAAGGAGACCCCAGGTCAAGTCCCCTCACTGCCTCAGGGGGAGAAGGGATTTGAAGAGACATCTGCTACCTCTGAGGTGAGGGCCCTTGTCACTGGGCAGTGGGATAGTGTCATGGTGCGAGGGCAGGGGCGAGGGGGGGAGGATGGCGGCTTCAATCCCCCCGTTGAAGCTGTTCCACTGTTGATTAAAGGATTAAAGAGAAATTTGGCCAGAAAGAGAGAGAGAGAGCAAGAGTGAGAAGCCTGATGGCTGCAGCACTCCCCTCTGAGTTCACAGATGTGGGCTCTAGTCCCCCGGCTTATAGCCTGCAGTGGTGGTCCCCACAGGCGAGCTATGTGGAGTTTGTGCATTGCAGTGGGGCTTAGGCATCTGTATGCCTAGAGCAGGGCAGCCATGGACACGCCCACGGGCACCTAGGGAACTCTTACTACCAAAACTTAGGTGTCAACTGTGATAAAGCATCTACAGTGTCCAGTGACAGCTGAGTGAGGGTTTGAAAATCCATCCCATTTTGTTCCATGAGACCTACCCAGGAGATTTCTAATGCATTGTAGGCTTTATTTATTGACTGTTCAATGAATGGCACAAAAGAAGGTTATGCCATGTTATTACAAACATCCCAGGGCTACTGATACAGAAATTAACTAACAAAAGAAGAGGATCCCATTACAAATAGGAGGCCAGGTTATGAGCTCAGTGAGAAAACAAAGGACCAGCTCCCCTCTGCCTGCGGGGAAGAAGGGATTTGAGCAGGGATCTGCCATCTCGCAGGTGGCTGCCGGAACCACTGGGCTGTGAGCTATTCAGACATGGAGCATCCTCAGTTGCTCCTCCTGAAGCTGTTCTACTGGGGCTGAATAACAAAAGGGAAAGGGGATGGGATATTGGGCCCCTCCCTTCCTAGCTAAGTGCTCTAACCACCAGGCTAGATAGTCATTCTCAAGCCAGGTCTACACTACACACTGGCTCATCCATTGGCCTACAGTGGAGTGAGACTGATTTACACCAGATGGAGGATCTGGCCAATTGACTCCAAAGAAGCCAATGATTTAATCCAGTGGGGAGCTGAAGTAGGATTCTAGCCCTCGTGGTTAGAGAGGAAAGCTGGAAATGTGACCTCTACATGCTCAGGAGCCAGAAGATGAATAAACCTCCACCTAACATTGTATCTTTTCTTTTGTTTTGTTTATATCTCATCATTTTTAAGCCATTCTCATCCTTTTTTCAGACCTGTCTCATTAAGTTTGCATACATGGGTTGAGTTTCTGGGCTTGCCTTTGGGCCAGTTTCCCCTGTGATCATGGGGTGTGTCAAGGTTCCTTCCCCACTCTGAACTTTAGAGTACAGATATGGGGACCTGCATGTAAACTTGTAAGCTTAACTACCAGCTTAGATCTGGTTTTGCTGCTACCACTCCCAAGTGCTAACTCCCTTCCTTGGGTAGCCTTGAGAGACTCCTCCACCAATTCCCTTGTGAACACCGATCCAAAACCCCTTGGATCTTAAAACAAGGAAAAATCAATCAGGTTCTTAAAAAGAAGGCTTTTAATTAAAGAAAAAAAGGTAAAAATCATCTCTGTAAAATCAGGATGGAAAATAACTTTACAGGGTAATCAGATTCAAAGAGCCCAGAGGAACCCCCTCTAGCCTTAAGTTCAAAGCTACAGCAAACAGAGATAAACACTCTAGAAAAAGGAACATTTACAAGTTGAGAAAACAAAGATAAACCTAACACGCCTTGCCTGGCTGTTACTTATAAGTTTGAAATATGAGAGACTTGTTCAGAAGATTTGGAGAGCATGAATTGATGTCTGGTCCCTCTCAGTCCCAAGAGCGAACAACACCCAAAACAAAGAGCACAAACAAAAGATTTCCCCCCACCAAGTTTTGAAAGTATCTTGTCCCCTTATTGGTCCTTTGGGTCAGGTGTCAGCCAGGTTACCTGAGCTTCTTAACCCTTTACAGGTAAAGGGATTTTGGAGTCTCTGGCCAGGAGGGATTTTATAGTATTGTACACAGGAGGGCTGTTACCCTTCCCTTTATAGTTATGACTGGGTGTGCTTGCAGCTGCTGTGGACAGTCCCCTGCACACTTTACTCTTTCAACTGCCTTTACTTTGTATATGGCTCTTTTCGTACTCCCATTTGGGTACTTTCTACCAATGTCTCTTGATCTCTTACTCATATTGATAGACGTCACCACATTCTAAAAGAATATTAATTATAGATTTTCACTTTCATATTAGGAAAATAATTTATGTTTTGATTGTTGGCTGGCTGCAGGCAGGGCAGGGGATGTGGGGCTGGCTGGAGACAGGGGTTGGTGCGAGCATGGCAGGGGGTGTGGGGCTGGAGGCAGGGCAGGGGTGCAGCAGGGGCTGGCTGCGGGCAGGTGGTGCGGGGCTGGCTGGAGACAGGGGCTGACTGTGGGCAGGGGTTGCGGGGCTGGTGCAGGCAGGGGGTGCAGCAGGGGCTGGCTGCGGGCAGGGCAGGGGGTGTGGCAGGGGGTGTGGCAGGGGCTGGCTGGAGATGGGCTGGCTCAGGGCAGGGCAGGGCAGGGGGTGCGGGGTTGGCTGTGAGCAGGGCAGGGGGTGCGGCAAGGGCTGTATGGAGACGGGCTGGCTGTGGGCAGGGCAGGGCGGGGCAGGGGGGGTGGGGCGGGGTGGGGGCAGGGGCTGGCTGGGGACAGGGGTTGGCTGCAGGCAGGGCAGGGGGTGTGGCAGGGGCTGGCTGGAGACAGGGGCTGGCTGCAGGCAGGGGCTGCAGGGCTGGCTGGATACCGGGGCTGGCTGTGGGCGGGGCAGGGTGGCAGGTGCAGGGCAGGGGGGGCTGGCTGGAGACAGGCTGGCTGCGGGCAGGGGGTGCAGGGCTGGCTGGAGACAGGGGCTGGCTGCGGGTAGGGCAGGGTGTGCGACAGGGGGTGTGGGCAGGGCAGGGTGGTGGGTGCAAGTGTAGCCTGATTTAGGGTGTACTGATAATATTAATTTGGATAATATGGGAATTTAATTTATTAATGTAATTTTATTTGATTTTAATAATAATATTAATAATTATTATTATTAATATTAATTAGTATGGGTTTAGGCTCGCCAATCTGTTTGATCAGAAGATAAAAGTTCTTGTCCTGAATCAGGCTCCACAGAATTTATAAAGGACCCTCAGGGGTATGACAGGAAGCTCACATTGAGACAGATAAAGCCTTAAAGACTTTTTATTAAAATCAATAATAGTAAGTAAATGGTAAAATACTCAAGCATTACAAAGTTACAATTGCATTACTGCTATTCAAAATATACATATGATACTGTAGTATTACATGCAACAAAGCTTTGGTTAACATACTCACACCCGTCCTTGATAACCTGGTGGTAAGAGACACAGGACCAGCCTTGCAGTTCAGGTTTCTCAATTCTTGAGTGAGGGATGCAGTGCTTAGAAAATGCTAAGAGCTATCAAAGCTGACTAGGGTTTACTTGGCTAACTTAAACTTAAATCAAAACCTTATAAACAAACTAAGAATAAAACTTAGCCTACAAGTAGTAGCAGTCATCGTAGATAGATAGAGTGGAAGAAGTAAATGAGAATAGAGTAAAGTGAGAATGGAGATAGTGAGAAATGGAGAGCAGAGAGAGAGAGAAATGGAGATGGAGTAAAGTGAGAACGGAGATATGGAGATACTCTGTTGAGGTGGGTTACCTCTTTTATAGGGCAAATGCCAGACCTCCTTCCTCTTATGCCCAAATTTCATTCCTCACCCACAGAAATGTTAGGGTACACTTACCCCATAGGCTAGTATGTATGTGCGTACTGATGACAGGTATGTACGCACATCAGTCTCTTGTGGTGTACTTGTTAAGTCTGTCGGAAAACCCCCCTATGCCATTTTCCATTGTCTATTGGTCTAGATAAAAGGTCATAGACATAGGCATGGGTACTCATCTATTTAGGTAACAAGCTATAGGTCAACTTTGCTTTTTTTGAGTAAAAGGTCTTAATATAGATATGCTAACTTTGCCTTAGCTTAACATACAGGATATGGCCTGTAGGTCTCTTGCATTACAGCCAAACTCACTTTAATATAAATCTATAAACCTATTACAATAAACCAAATACTTAGGGTATGTCTACACTACAGGATTAATCCGAATTTAGATAATTCGAATTTGGGAAACAGGTTGTATAAATTCGATTGTGCGCGGCCACACTAAGCACCTTAATTCGGTTTTTAACCACATTAATTCGGTGGTGTGCGGCCACACTACCCCATTAATTTAAACACAGTAATTCGGTGGTGTGCGGCCACACTAACCCTAATTCGAATTAACAAAATCGATTTTGGCGCTACTCCGCTCGTCGAGGTGGAGTACAGAAATCGATTTTAAGTGCCCTTTAATTCGAATTAACTGGCTCTGTAGTGTGGACGGGTGAAGGGTTAATTCGGATTAACGCAGCTAAATCCGAATTAAAGTCCTAGTGTAGACCAGGCCTTAAATTATAAGAAAAGATATATATATACATATATATATATATATATATATATATATACACACACACGAG